GGGATCTCGTAGTCGAGCAGTCTCGACTAGAGCTTTCTTACTTGTTTTAAATTAAATTGAATATTTTTTTAGGATCGCCTATGGCGCAAAACACGACAGCCGTCGCTGATTTCTGATTGCGTCGGCGTTGATCCAAATCGGAACTTCGACTCGCATTGGATGGAGAATGGCGGCGCTTCTTCGGATCCCTGCGACGAGACCTATGCTGGGCCGCATCCTCTTTCGGAGCCAGAGGTTAAAGCTCTGTCGGATTTTATTAGCATCCTTAAGCATAAAATGAATGTTATGCTCGCCTTTCACTCATATAGTCAGCTCTTGTTGTCACCTTACGGGCACACAGCGGAGGAATTTCCCGATAACTACAATGACTTGATGCAAGTGGCGAAAGCTTACAGTGATGCCGTCCACGGACTGCCCTATGGAACCATCTATAAATATGGTTCGTCAGCTGGCATTCTTTGTAAGCAAACGAACTACACATATGCGGATAGACAAAATACATACATGATGATTTATTTGTAGATCCGGCTTCAGGCGCTACTAACGATTGGGCATACAACGAAAAGGATATCAAAATATCCTACACCATTGAGTTTCGTGACACTGGGAATTTTGGCTTTGTATTGCCAGCAGCCTTTATAAAGCCCAATGCCGAAGAAACTTTGATAGGCATTATGGCTCTTCTGGCAGAATCAAAACGGCTGCGATATTTAGAACCAAAATATAATTATGGTCTATGAAACAAAATACACATGAAAGAATAAATATACATATTTATAAATATCACGGAATAATTAGTTTGAAAATTTTGGAATTTATTAGATTGAACTATTAGCAAATTATTTAATTACGCTTTTCATTGAACATTGTGGCAAAGGAGTCGTGAATGGTTTAATTTCCATTCAAGTTAAATCTATAAGTTTGGGCTCAGGCTATCTGAAACTACAATATGACTTGGAAATACCTCTAAAAACAATTGGCAATAAATTCATTTAGATAAGCTTAACATAATAAAAGTCTTGGAAAGTGCAACCTAGCTATTAAGTGTAGACTCGACTTCGATATCAATCAGTCAAACTTAGCAATGCGTGTGATATGGCTGCTAGCAACGCTTGTAGTCCTAGCCAATGCTAGGACTCTCAAGGATCAACCGAAAGTGCGCTACGATAACTACAGTGTCCATCGCCTGAGTATCAAAAACAAGATACAATTATCGCTGATAAACAGACTAAGCGAACTTAGCGACAAGGCATGTAAAGGATTCAGTGTTATATACAAAGATTTGCTATAGGTTTTTCTAACCGCTTTTCAGTTCAATGTTTGGAAGGAGTATGATGAGCACTCCAAGCAGGTAGACATAATGGTCAGCCCCGCTGCCTCAAGGCACTTTCAGTTGCTCCTTAAGCTGTATGGCATTAGCAGTCAGCTCTCGATACCCAATGTACAAAAGTAAGTGGACCCAATAAGGTTCTCTATGCTATAAAAGGCACACAGTGGCGATAAGATGGAGAATTGCCTATTATAAAGTAAAGTTTTATTTGGTGTTTAGGCTTATCGACGACGAGCAAGTATCCAGCAGAGATAGCGGCACCTTTGGCTGGAGGCAGTACTACGAGCTGGCCGAGATCTACGAATGGTTAGATAACATTTTTGCCACATATCCCACCGTGACCGAAGAGTTCTCAATTGGTAAATCGTACGAGGGACGCAACATTCGTGGCATCAAGATTTCCTACGGGCCGAATAAGCCCGGCATATTCATAGAGTCCAACATCCATGCCCGTGAATGGATCACCTCCGCCACTGCAACCTGGTTCATCAACGAGCTTCTCACTTCGCAGAAGGAAGAGGTGCGCAACTTGGCCGAGAGCTATGATTGGTATATTATTCCCGTGTTTAATGTGGATGGCTTTGAGTACTCCCATCGATCTGTAAGTCACTTAATATATGCACATGTCTGACAAGTGAGCACTAACTGATTACCTATCTATAGAACCGCTTGTGGCGCAAGACCCGGCAGCCGCACGCCACCTCGAAGTGCATTGGAGTCGACGGTAATCGCAATTTCGACTCACACTTTATGGAGAACAATGGTGCTTCGGCGGACCCCTGCAGCGAGACATATGCTGGCGAGGATCCTTGGTCAGAACCAGAGACAAAGGCGTTGGCCGACTACCTAACGTCCATCAAGGACAAGTTCAACGTGTACCTCTCATTCCACTCCTATGGCCAGTGGTTACTTTCCCCTTACGGTCATACAGCTGAGGCATTTCCAGAGAACTACAATGACCTACTTGAAATAGGCGCTGCCTTTGGCAGTGCCATCAAAAATTTGGTCTACGGCACCAACTATGTTCACGGCTCCACGGCTTCCGTCCTGTGTAAGTTAGTTCCCTGTCTTCACTGTCACGTCCAACTAAAAGGGATTACGCTTTTGCAGATGTCGCTTCCGGTTCTTCTGTGGATTGGGTCTTTAATGAACTAAACAAAAAAGTTGCCTACACCATTGAGTTTCGCGATAAAGGCAACTTCGGCTTTGTATTGCCACCCGCTCAGATCCTGGCGAACTGCGAGGAGCTGATGGCTGGCATGGTTGCCCTGATCGATAAGGCCCACAGTCTGAAATACATATAATGTTTATTGCTACCATTTATTTATCATTAAAGTACCGCATGTACGATGTCAGCAGGTCATCCATCTTGTAGCCTTGGGTGGTGCTGCAGAGCAGCTTCGCGGCGCCAATCATGTTTCCGAACCGTATGTGAAAGTGATTTTTCCCTGAGCTCCATATGCCCAGTTCCGAATAGCTGTGGCTGCGCAGTAGATGTTTCGAACTCATATCGAGCAGGTGGAAGCCTCCGCTGTTGATGGCAATCAACAGATGCTCGGGCAGCGACTGATCGTTCAGCTGCTTGACAACGAAGAACGTAGATCCGAAACAGGGTTGCTTGGCAAGCTCCTGCAGAAACATTAGTTTTGCCTGTTTCTCGTCGAGGCCAGCATCCCTCTTGAGGATGGGCCCCAGCAGTTGATGCCACTCGGCAAGAGTGTGTAGTGGCAGCAGATCTTCAGGCAGTAGGCGGTGCAAAAGGTCGTGAAGCGGCATTCCCTCGTCGTGGTCCGGATCCGCCCTATATATTAGACTAACCAGTTGGAGGGCCACCTCGAGTCGAATGGCATAGTGGCCTTTTAGGTATTTATGCAGCTCCTGTGGGTAGGTGAAGATCAAATCCGCATTGAGATCTTTGCCCGGTTGGCAGTCAATCCACAGCTTGCGCATGAAATGCAACTGGTAGTGGCCATCGCAGCTGGAGCGAATGGTTTTCTGCTGGCGCAAACACTGCATCAGCTCCGTAATAAAGTCGAAGACAAACTCAGCCTCTGGCATGGCATATATCCTTTCGCCCATCTTCAAAAAGATGCTGAATCCCAGTTGGGACTTCAGCTCCAATCGTTGTGATATCGCACTGATGAGCGCAGCGCCTCGCGTGTGCGACTCGATTTCGAATGCCTCTACCGTATCGTCCGGGAAATAAATCTTATGGTAAATGTGCAGGCAACGCTGCTGAATGCCCTCAACCTCAATTAGATGCGGCGCCTGCTTGCGCTGGCCATGCTGCACAGAACGCTTTAGCCGGCGGAGGCACGCATCGGCCAATGAATCGTTCCGCAGGCGCAGGAATAGAACCAGTTCACGCATTATGAGGACACTCGGCGACATGATCCCTGTAGCTAAGTAGAGCAGGTCCCAGCCACGCTGCTCACTCACCTCCTTGGGATTTTCGGTGAGCTGTTTCATCAGTTGGCAGAAGACTTCATCGCAGATCAAAGCATCTTGCAGTGCCGGCTGAAAGATTAGATCCGTGTTCACTGGCAAATCGCCACGAGCAATGTCACCCATGTACTTAAGGAAAAGGCACAAATTTCATAACAAAGTTGGTACCATGCATATCTCATATCGCCTACCTTCAGTATGTGATGATGAATGACTAGCGCCTGTTGATACAAATGAGGCTTGGCATGCAGAGACCTAAGGAGTGGCGACTTAAGCGGCTCAGCGGAATATCTCCACAAAGGCGACAATTCCGATCTGAGGGAAAATTAAATTAATACATATTCAAAGCTGAGATCTACAAATGCAAAACCAACTCAAAGCGCTCCCTGAACTGCAAGTCTGCAAACTTGGCCAAGCTATGCTGGCGACGAAGCGGAGTATTTGTGGACTTCATTGAAGAGGATTCCTCTACCAAGCCGCTCGCTGTTCGCTCCTTGAATATCTGCTGTAGGTGTGAGCTGGGCTTCACTAGCGTGGCTAAGACTCGCACATTTCCGGCTACGAATTGACCCCACTGGCCATTCGAGCATCCACGCCAGATGCACTGCGGATCGTTTGCCATTAGTTGAGCACCCATGACGCCAGCTTCAAACTGAATTAGATCCCCGGGCACTATGGATAGCTGATCTTCCAGCTGGTTTGGCTGAGGACTTTGAATGACTACGCCGTAACTGGAGCGCTGCTGCAAATTCAGCATCATGTAGTCAATGAGCTCGACAACATCACGAGCCTCGCTCGACTGCAGCACGAAGTTCTCCTGTTGCGCCGTGAGCACGTGCATTTGATCATTGGGCTGGTAATGAACCCTGATCAATTCGGCATAGCTGCAGGCTGCGAGCACCTGCTCAGTTTCATCAATAAGCGCGACGCCTGTTGCATTGATGGCTAACATTAGGTCCTCGCTCTGCAGTTTGGGGCCGGACACGTGCTGTACCTCGTACAAGCGAGAATGGCGCATGGGCCAGGATAGGTGGCCAAACAGACAAATGTCCTCCTTAGCGCGCAGCTGCGACTCCGGGTCCTGGCCCTTCTTCACATAGGCGCTGCTCTCGTACATGGTAGCAATTAGTCGACTCCAATTGTGGACAGCACGCTCACCTGGGGCCAGCAAGTCCCCAGGCACAAAGGCCGTCAGTTGGCTGTCCGTCAGCCTGGCCACGGGTCCCGCTCCCTGCTCGATGTAGGTGGCCAAGGCGCAGATCATGGCAATATCCTTCTCCGAGCGACAGCGATACTCCCCGCATTTTAAGCCGCCTATAATTTGCTTGTAGATGAGATGCGTGGCCTTGGGGTCCAGTGTGGGATCGTACCAGGCGCCGAACACCTCTTTGCGCAGATAAAGCTTCCAGGGCGCATCCAGCTGCCTTTGCTCGCAGCTGGAAATGGCGTCCAGGATGTGCTCACGCCCAGCTCCCAGTGGCATCAGCTTCTCATCTAACGACAAAACTAGACCGAAGCCAAAGCTATCGGTCAGCCCCAGTCCATCGCTTAGCTGTTGCACTGCCTCTCTAGCTGTGCTGGCTGCATCCACCTGCAACTTGCGCGCCTGGCCGTCCGTCAAATAAATGGCCAGCTTTAGTGGCTGCCGGCTTCGGATCGCCTGTAGCTCGAGCAGCGATGGAGGCTGTGAGCGCGCTCCATTGACCAAGGTGCGCTCCAGGTTATGCAGAGCTGGCCCTGCGTGCAGCTTGGCAGTGCCCACTCTCAGATAGCTGCGCAAATTAGGCTCGAAATTTAATGTGGGTGGAAAGCAGCTCAGGCACAGCGACAGCAGCAGCCAGCCTCGGGAGAGCGAGCTGCGACTTGGATTTAGATAAAGCTGCTTGCATATCTGTGCTAGAATTTCATCCCTGTAAGATACAAAGTAAAGTAATATTTGTAAGACTATCATAATAAGCAACATAATAAAGGAGAGTTGATTTAATGTATTATTTACTAACAGCAACTGCTTTACACTGCTTAGCTGAGTGCACTCGTCAAGCAGTGCAGCAAAGTGTGCTGCTGCGTTAAGCTGTTTGCCAGATGGTAACGTTAACAGAGATCGTCAGATTAACAGTATAAGTCCATGTTTCTAACAGCAGCATGGACTTATACTGCCTAAGCTGTGTGGCAGATAATAATGTAAATCGCAATCGTTCCCTAGGAGCAGCACTGCTTCAAATTGCTTAGCCAAATATTGTGTTCAGTGATTTTCTAAATATGTCAATTATAATATATAACTAACCTCAACTCTTCTTTCAAGATGCCGTGTCCGATGATGAAATGAATCTTATCCAAATGACTGCTGCCGGCATTTAGCCACAGCTGATAGAACTCTTCGGCTCCCCGTTGGCCGTTAGTGTTGCCAAAAGATTTTGGCTGGCGCTTAACAGTTTGTCGCACAAAGCGCCGGGGCTTGGCGCCTAAGATTGACGCTATTTCCTGCATGAGCTGTGGACTACGCAGAGACAGTTGGCTCTGATTGGGAACTGACTCAGGCAGGTCGCCCATAAAGCGCAGAATCATTATCCAGATGGCCTAAGGGAATGAAGGAAGGATGGTAAGTCTAGCATTTAATATTGGCATCTCTATACATACATGTGTGACTTACCTTAGCAGCCATTTGATCAAGGGGCAGATCATGTTTTAGTAGGGCCTGCTTGAGCGGCTTCCTTTCATGCTGATAGGTGATACCACTGCTAAAGTACGTGGAGGCAAATTTTAAGAAGCTGAAGTCGGAAGTGTCCACATTACGAGGGATTGGCTTGGGCAGTCGAATGGTGCCAGCGGAGCTGATGCTGTTGGTCTTTTTCAGATTAATCTATTTTTAAAAATAGGGGTAACACAAATATGTAGTATACGACTACAACTGCCAATAAACCAGTAACCAGAAACCAGAAAGAAAACTTAATGAATAAAACAAATAAGGGTATTCCACAGCCAGCATACAAGCCTTAAGTTTATCATATGGTTTCTCTTATACACACGATCGCGGAAATAATTTGTTATAAATACCTTTAGTCATTTGAATTCTAGACAGTTATAATCAATGTGGCTGCCAGCTGTCAAGGCGGTCAGAGCGCCTAAGGTATTCTATGCTACAGCTGCGCCGAAGATTTGTCGATCTGATAAGAGTCCGAATATAATTTACAATCACATTTTATTTAATTAATCAGGAGGGGTATTGCGCTTCGAAGTTTTAATGCTGTTGATAGCGATAGCGAGGGCTGTGCCTGACAAATTTCTCATTATAAAGTTAGTTGCTGGCTACACCTCAACCTGTGCGCATACGGACTCTAGCTAGCGGGCCTCGAAGGAAATTAAGTATATATGTATATATTTTGGTTGCTAATAAATATTGGAAATTTTTCGCTGTGTACTCTTGTTTCATTTGAAAACAAATTTTCTATTGGTTGAATATTTATTATTGTTTAATTAATATGTGCGCGAGTTTTCCGCGCGTATCTATGGAGGTATATTTAGGATTAATGGCCCAACAAGTAAATAAACTAATAAGTAGAAGGAGAACTAAATCTTTGATTTATAATTACAAGCTAATAAATATACATAAATATCTAAAGGTTCGCATCGGAAATATTAACGTAAAGTAAATTGAAGGTCTTTCATTTCATACCTTGACTCAGGAAATCAAGTTTTATTTGCCCAAAGAAGAGGCGGTGAGTATGCTTTGTTATTTTCGCGACATTCCCATAAGATAATCAAACAAATCGAAAAGCTATTGAATAATCTTGAGAGCTCTCAACACTGTAATCTGTTGCGCTATTCTATTCTAGTAAGACGCAACTGTTATCTCGCAAATTAAAAATAGATTAGGAACAAAAGCAATAATTTTGTTCTAATTTCCGCCGATAGTGCTGCAGATAACTTTCTGGACATTGACTATAGTAATAAGCGCGGTATGAAATGACCAAACAACAACAACTACAACAATAACGGAAAGACATATGGGATATCCGAAAGCAACTACCACGTGCACCATAACTAAAGGCGTTTAATGAAGAAAAGACGAAATGGATTGCACAAATCTCTAGATTCCTTAGATATTCACCGCCGAAGCGGCTTTTATTTACAAAATATGTATAATTTATAGGTGGTACATAGAAAAAGAACGATCACAAAACGAACCAATTGCAAGTGCGTATGCATAGGCTCTACATATACATATGTACTTATGTAAACCGACATTGATATAACGTATGTACAGGTGAAACACTCCCCCATGGCCTACCCAGCGTGAGAAGCGATTGGAAGAGATGCCTGCGTTCAACGAAGGATGTCTTTCAATCGCATTCCTTAGATAATATCAGCTATCAACTACTTAAAATAACATATACTCTGACTAATTTGTTCAGGGCTGCCCGAGCACTCGCAACTGCTAGAGGCGCGTCTGATCGACAATCTTTCGAGGCGCCGCCTCATAGTAGTTGACGGGGCGGGACAGCAGCTTGGTGGGGACATCTTTGCGCAAGCGCAACTGCCGCTCGAATATCAAAGACTTCTCCTTGACATTCGGCCCCAGTGGACCACTCACGTCGGGCTCGTCATTCAGGAAGCCGAACACGTCGTCTACAATCTGCTTAGATGACTCCACGTCGATGTACCCGGGGCTGTCCAGAGCATTGCCATTCATTTTGGCACCGATTGGCGCAACTGTCACATTCGGAGGGGGCGGCGGCAATGACATGCGCGCCTGCAATGTGGGTGCAGGCATCACATTCACCCTCACCTGCGGCTGCTCTGTTCGCTTCAGTGATTTTGTGCGCCTAGGCTGATGCACTGCAGCCATGGCTGCAGCATTGCGGGCAGCGATCTGCTCCTGGAGACGCTGCTCCTCTGCCTTCTTATCTTTCAGCCGCTGCTCGGCTTCTGCCTGCTGCTGCATGAGGCGCTGCTGCTCCAGCTTCTTTAGCCGTAGCTGCTCTTGCTCTCTCAGTAGCTTCAACTGCTGCTGCGATTCCCTCTGCTTCGCCCGCTTGGCCTGTAGCTGGAGGGCGAAGCGCTGCCTAGCCAGATAGCCGCGGCTCAGGGCCTGTAGCTTTATCGTGCGACTGCGCACCATTGTAAACTGTGTGGTCAGCCGCTGGGCCGCGAGGCAAGCGCCCAGTCTGTGGAAGCCACGTCGCATGGTCAAGAACCTCCGCCTCTCAGCACGGCCACGCCAATAGCGCTGCACTGTGACTATGGCCCTTCGATACTTCTCCATGTAGCGGCGGAAGAGCACGCGTCGTATGCCCCTCTGAATGGTGACGATGTACTTGAGCATCACCCGCGACCGCTTCGCCTCCAGCAGTGCATCGTCCTCATCCCGCAGGAAGAGCTTCGTGCGACCGAACTGACGATCCGAGTCAGCCGGCAACGCCGCCTCGCAAATCTGGCGAGCCAGCAGGCGGCAGTCGCACTGGTCCAGAGGACCCGTCCGTGGCACCAGCAATCGGTAACGCTCCACAAAGGCTCGGTACTCGTGCCGTATGGGATAGCCAGCCCGACGAATTCGCGCCGTTTCCATCATACCGGAGTAACGCAGCTGACGGACGCACAGCTCCTTGTCAAAGTTCTAAAGAAGGTAAAAAGGAGAAAAATTAATATCAATATTAGGGAGAGAGAGATAATGGATGGAAATGGTTCGTTGAATCGAGTTACGATGGTCTAAATTAATATTGAAATTGATAAAAGCCGTTTCATCAACGAGTTATTAACGACTTGATATGGACCTTATCTTCGCAGCCATAAGTGGTATTTAAGACTCTCACACTATTGTGGGAGGCTAACGTAGATTACTCTTAGAATGCTTTGCGAAGCTTTGCCAGAAAAAAGTTGATATTAAGATTTTCACTTACATTGGGTTCCTTGTACTCGTTGGGCTTGATGCAGCGTATGAAGTAGGGATGGGCCTGCGACAGGGTGCGCATTAGCATGTCCAGCGAGTTGCGAAACTTGACGCAGAGAGTGGGTTGTTTCTTGGCCGTGTCCATGGGCAGCTCCTGCGGACAGATGTCCACCAGATACTTATTGCTGGAGCGCTGTACGAGGTTACGCAGGTCACTGCTAAACGAATCGCGATTCTTTTCGAGGAAGCCCAGTGGATTGTACATGACGACGCCAGCGTAGTGCCGAATGCCGAAGAGCGAGGCTTGGGTCGTCTTGCCTTTGACGTATATGGAGCGATTGCCGTGCTGCACGTGCAGCTTTTCCAGCAGCGTCTGGTCCGTGCCCTTGGGAAACTTGGACTCCTCGTCGATGAGCGACATAATATTCACTGGCTTCATGCCAATAAGGTCGAGTATGTCCTGATTGTCCTGGAACTCGATGTGCTGCCAGTTGATATGCTCCAGCTGGTACTCCGCCTGCTCCATCTGCAAGACCAATAGCATTAGACACGCTCTTTCATTTACTCTACCTGCAAGCCACTTGATACCTTGAAAATGTGACCGACAAAGAACTGCTGCAAGTTCTCATTGGCATAGTTGATGCACAGCTGCTCAAAGCTGTTGTTGTCGAAGTTCTCGAAGCCGAAGATGTCCAGCACTCCGATGCTGTTCACTGGTTGCTCCGGCTGCTTGTTGATCGTTTCATTGATGCGCTTCACAATCCGCACGAAAATGCCGTCGTAAAGCGCCTTGACGAAGGCATCGCGTCCCTCCAGGGCGGCCTCTTTGGACAGGCTAGTCACCACGTGCTCGCCATGCACGAAGATTGTCCGTTGCGTGAGGGCCGCAGTGAGAGGCGCTTCTGGCAGGCCCAAGAGCTGAGCTATGCGCCGCAAGTTCGTTGGATCGTCCACCTCGGCGGCCTCCAGGTTGGCCACCTCAGTCGCCTTGAAGCGCAAGTTTCCAAAATGAAGTATGGCAGCGAGCAGGCTGAGTATGCTCCAGAGCTCCTCCGGCTTGAACGATAGCACCTTCATGGCAGCCCGTATGTCGGCAAAGTCCTTCTCGTCCTGCTTGCCAGGCAGCGCAAAGCAGCCGCCCTGTGCCAAATAGTGGTACTGGCTGGGCGACTGCTCCTGCAGCTGCAGCCTCTCCCGCTCTGCCGCAGTCAACCCGGCCAGCATGCAGTAAAAGATGTGATAGTTGCGCTCGTCGCGACTCTGAAACACGATGCGGGACTTTTCCAGCAAGTACTGCTGTATGCGAGCACCCTGTATGGTGCCTTCGGGCGTGAAGCGAATGTCAATGTACTTGCCGAAACGCGAGGAGTTGTCGTTGCGCACGGTCTTCGCATTGCCGAAGGCCTCCATGACTGGGTTCGCCTCAATGATCTGCTGCTCGATCCAGGAGTGCTTGCCACTTATGGCAGCCAGGTACTGCAGTATCAGCTTCGTGCTCTCGGTCTTGCCCGCCCCCGACTCCCCGCTGATCACGACGCATTGATCCTCCTTCAGCCGCTGCAGGCGCTGGAACGCATTGTCGCTAATGGCAAAGATGTGCGGCGGCAGATCACTCAACTTCTTATTCCGATACAACTGGATCTCGCGATGCGTGTAGATGGGCAGTATCTGATAGGGATTGATGGCCACCAGCATAGAGCCCGTGTATGTCTGCAGAGGAATCAGCAGTATTAGCATTGGCACTCTTAGTGCTTCCCGATGTCTACTTACATAGATGAACTTTTTGTCGTAGCGCGTCTGCAGGTTGCGCAGGATCGTGTACTCCTGCAGATCGCCGAGTGTGATCATATCCTCCACGTCCGCGTGGGAAGTCACGTGCATGGCCTTGAGCACATCGCCCGCCGGCACCCAGAACTGTTTCTTGGAATCATCGCAGATCAGAGTTTGGGTCTTTTCTGTGCGCACAATTCGAGCTCCGAATGGCACAGCGAACTCGCTGCTTGTGTTCTGCGGCTTAACCCAGACGTATTCGCCCTGCAATTGATCATCAATGGGACTCAAATGAGAGATCTTATCAATGTAATAACAAAAGTGTTGTACACGCGCCTCACTTCAACATGAGCGATTAGATATCGGTATCGAAACCTTCTGGGTGAAGAAATTGTTACCCAATGTCAAGGAACTTCGGGTGTTTAGAAATCGATTACTGCCGTCATGTAAAGCAATTAATGTTGCTCATATCTCTATCTCGAAAGTTGACACTCCTGGCAGCTACCATAATTATGGGCGCAACATAAATTTCGATAAGAGATTTGGTACTCAGAGCAGTTCATAAATTTCAACATATAAACTGTCTTCAACTCAAATTTATATAATAAGGAAGTATAAATAATATGTATTATTTAGAATGTTTCTCAGCTTTATCAAGAATGAGACCATATACAATATATCTATTTATACTATGTATACTATATACGCCACATACATATATCGCTCGAAGTCTTAATGACACTTATCAAAGTTGAGTAAAGCTCTTCAAGTCTTCAGCATTTATTTGGTGGCTTATTTGAATAATGAAGCAGGCAAACGGTAGCCAATCGGCGAGCGGCAGGAGAATCAAATATGTATGCTCGATGTGCCTATCTTATCACAGGAATGTCGATAAACAAAAAGTCTTATCGGAATTTTACAATCGCAGCGGAAAACATGGCACAGCAACAAACAGTTAATGGCTGCCAAATGGAGAGTTGCGAAAAGCAATCTTGGCTCTAATAATAAACGAGATTTTCTTCGGAAAGATTTCATCCTAGACAAGCAGACAAAAAAATGGCAGATATCTATGCATATTATGATTTATTATACGTTATCTCTGCGACCTTGTTTATCTCTAATAACATAAGACACCTGTGCCGAAGTCTATTTGATAGGAGTATGACTAAGAGCCACCGAAAACAAGGGAAATAAATAATTGTGGCTAAGTCCACAGTGAAAGGTTGATTCCTGATTAGAATATTCCGTTATAGGCGTGATTTTCAAATGCTGGCTGCATTATGAGGTCATGTTGTACCCATATCAAGCTGATAAATTTGTACTTAATTGCAGACTAATTTTTACGATGATCTAACTATCGCATACGCCCAGTCTCAATCAAGCTGCCAGCTGGCACAAGTTGGATTTTGATTTGGACATACGTATGGATAGGAGGCACTCAGAGTGCCCAAATGACGTCACTTATTTCACATTTCATAACGAAAACTAATAATCCAACAGTGAATGGGTATCAGTTAGTCGGTTATAATAGCACTTCGACAACCGACAAATTGATAGCGATCAATCAAAGTCAGCAGTCACAGCGGTTAAGCACATGCACATAGCTCTATGATTTGCTAATCTTGTGGCAGGAGTGCTCAGTACAGCGTATCTTAGTGTTGACTATTATTATTATCCACTAAAATACTGCCACACATTCTTTCGATACGGAGCACAATGTGCTTATCGTGTGCTTGCTTTAATTGGAAATAACACACTTTAGGCAAACTGTCTTCCATGTATAACTAGCTCAGTTCTAATACGAAAGAACTATACAAAATATTGTTTAATTTGGGTCTTATTATTTATTTATAGTTATATTATATGGTTAATTTAGGCATATCTTGTATCTGCATTTATAAATTGTTTGTGTTTTATTATGACCGAAAGAGATTTTTATTCCGGAACTTTATTTCACTTTCGCATATATTTTGAGAACTTACATGTTCCCTTAGAAATTCAGACATTTTGCCTATTCGAAGCTTAATATCGTTTCGCGGAAAGTTTTGGATAGTTTACGCTCGATGGAGCACTGCCGCACTGCCGAGACACACGCGCCGTGGATACTTTTAATTGCTCGGCAAATATTTGGCCTACGATTGGTGTTTATTTTGACAGCCGTTTTCACTTGTATTTTATTATTATTTTTCGTTTTTTGGTTTGTTCTCGACCGTGAAGTTCTGCTCGGCCCGGAGTCTCGTTAACTTGTGAACGGGGAGGTCTACTACTGTGGCCCTTGCTGTCATTTCGTTTCTTATCTCCCAGAGCGGTGTCGGCGGCACAGTTGATATTGATAATGAATATTGAATATGTTTTTGGCAGCGCCGTCTAGTCTTATCACGCCTTTTCGCCATATGGCTGGATTCGATCAAGTGTGCAAAATTATATGGAAATTTACATCGAAAACTCGGCCTCCCTCACTTTGCGCACTATCAAATGTAAAGGAAAGTCAAATAAATGATATATATTTGTTAAAGGAAATCTGCTTATCTATCGATTTCTGAAGCGTCCTTATCGGCCAACGAGCCAATCTAAGCGACAATTATAACCAAGTCTATATAACTAACCATATAGCGCGCCAATGAGTCACTAATGGTCGTTTGGGATGTGAGCACATATCATCCAGCTAAATAATGCTATAAAGCAGCTGGACTTATTGGGAAATCGTTGCTTGTCACCTCTCAATGGGCAGACCATTTAGCTAACTAATCTATTCATGGAGGCTAAGGCTGTAGCAGATATATTCCAGAAAACATGACTCGACTAATACTTCGGACTGGCAAGCGATACTATTTTCTCTTAATGAATGAGTATAAAACTGAGCATTACAATATAATCTATGTACTGAATAGAGCACATATACGAGATATATTTTTATATAATCACTGATCCAAAATGATTTAGAAAATGAATGACATTTCTAATCAATAAAGCAAAGCGTGCCAATGGCTTGATTAATGATCTATTTTCTGCGCAACAAATAAAATACTTTAAGTGTTTACAAAATTCTTCGTTTTAAAAGCAAATAGTTTTTATAATAATGCCCGCTTTTACACAAATAAATTTAATATTTTCTTATATTTAATAGATGCATGCTCAAAAACTCGATAAGTGCTACAAAGTTCAACTGACGCGACTTTGGCTGTATTCGCACAACGATTTGTCATAGTGCTTTCTGCTATCTTCACAAATGTCAGAGTCCTAATCATAATGTGCTGTCATTTATAAAAGTCAAAGTTAAATACCTTCGCTATGAGCACTGAGGCATTTACGACCAAGAAAATAAACAAACAAAAAGTTTTCAATCGGCTTAGCAAATGATTATGCTGATGTAATTCCCATTCAGATAGTGAAAGATAAATAGAAATAGAGAGGGAAAAAGAGAGCGAGAAAAAATGTGAGAGAGAGAAGCAATAAAATTAATAGAGAGAGAGAGAGAGAGAGAGAGAGAGAGAGAGAGAGAGAGAGAGAGAGAGAGATAGAGAGAGAGAGAGAGAGAGAGAGAGAGAGAGAGAGAGAGGACAGAGACATAGAGAGGAATAGAATGCAGAGAGACGTTGCGATATAGAAAGAAAGGAATACAGGGATAGATAAAGCAAAAGAAATAGAAAGAGCATTCATTAAATAAATATATAGTTATTATTAACAATATATTATTTTAAGTATGTAGATTTAAATCAGCAGAATTTATGTAAACGCAATGTAACCAATAAAAAAAAGTTTTGGCCACTGAACATACAAAAGGTTCTTTTTATTTGACAGGGTTTTTTTCTGGGAATTAATATTCAAATTTCAACGCCTTAACATCACTATATACAAAATATAGTTGCATAACTTAGGGAGGCTGTTGTTGTCAAAATTTGAAGGGCTATTTTAAAAATACCCGTGGGGAACAGAAATGACTAGCAGAATGAAAAAGGTAAACTAATTTGTATTGCGCTTTTAAAAACCAATATGGTAACGGTACACTGTTAGTGAACTGTTAACAAGTATTCTGCATGCTACAAAAAACTGTTAACCAACATGTAATTTTATTTTTGTTAACTATTCTTATTCCCGTCGCCTGTTCGGTAACCAAAATTTTCGTTAAAATCTTACTTTCTGCGGCTGATAAAAAAATCATACACATTTTTAGCTACTTGAGCATTGGAGCATATACTTATGTATACCCTCGAATTATGAAGTGTTAACATTTTCCCGAGCCACTCACTAGGAGCGTGGCAAACCAGAAACTGCACTATGAATGGGAAAATGGGCTGTGAATGAGTATTCTGCACCCGGTAACGCCTTACTTTTTAATACCGATCTTAAATCCCTTTCCATTTCATAAGTGGCCTTTCTGATTTTTTTAAATAAATATTGCTCATTATAATTAACACTGATTTATGGGAAGTAATTAATGATGCAACAAAATTGCTTTCAATAGGAAGTTTATCGGTTTCATTTAGCTTCTCTCCATCTACAATAAGAATTAGCAACCTTCTTGTCATTTCTGTGCGCCTGGTACTTTGACTGTATTTACGTATACCTTAGGCGATTTAAATGGCGAATTGCTTGTCATTGTTTATGTTATTAACTCAAGATCACCTAATGCAGGATTATCTCTCTCTACAATAAGAATTAGCAACCTTCTTCCCATTTCTGTGCGCCTGGTACTTTGACTGTATTAACGTATACCTTAGGCGATTTAAATGGCGAATTGCTTGTCATTGTTTATGTTATTAACTCAAGATCACCTAATGCAGGATTATCTCTCTCTACAATAAGAATTAGCAACCTTCTTCCCATTTCTGTGCGCCTGGTACTTTGACTGTATTAACGTATACCTTAGGCGATTTAAATGGCGAATTGCTTGTCATTGTTTATGTT